AAATACAGAGAAAGCAACTTTGCCATTACGGAATTAAATTTGGAAATGTCGAATTTAATTGGGGTCCAGCCTACGCACAGACAGATAAATGTCGATTTTAAAATAGATTTGTTATATCAAAGCAATCTGGCGCGAAACAATGCTTTTTTTATCTTTACTTTTTAGTTAAATATGATGAAGGCAAAAAAGCATACTGCATTAAATAAAGTAATTTAAATATAATACTTTTTTAAGGGGGGTAAATCATCGAATGTCTTCTCCACTTCTCCCGCCTGGGTGAGGCGGGTGGAAGTGTTACTGACTACTGACTTAAAAGGCACCCCGTTCCTACTCCTGCCCTTCGAACCGGAGCCCCGGTAACCTATCAAGTCCTCCGCGGCTTCGTATCGGCATCAGCTCTAATGGGCCCTATCCGTGGCCCAATAGGCGCCCAACAGTCGCCGCGTCGCATGTCGCGGAATGAGGTTCATGAATATGAGCCTCTAGCATGGCTTGAAACCAGTGGAGTTTCTCGTCATACAGTTACATGAGTAATAATTAATTTTCATTTTATATATGTACTTAGTTATGTTATTGAAATGAACAGTTCTCATAATTCGATCTTTCTTAGATTTCATTTGTTGTTGTGAAACTTCTCGTAGTCGTTTCCACAATATGATCGTTGGTAGACGATTTAAACATATTGTTTTAACTTTTCGAATTATTTCTTAAACATACTTTATAAAAATATTGCTGCTTTTATAATTTCCGTAGGCGGACGAGAATAAACGCGAAGTATAAACTTATAAAGGTCAATATTTAAATACTTTAGCCGCTGTAACTTTTGCCATTTTAACTTAGATATTTTTTCAAAGATTTTTCCGAAATACTAAAAATAGATTTTAATTATGTCTATCTTCTTGGAACGAACGAGCAACTACGAGCTTCACTTAAAATGACAGAATAACAGACAGATTGACTTTCAAAAGTGTTCAAAATTGTCTGATTGAAATAGCTTTGACTTTGACAGACATCTAATTCATTTCTTTAATAACAATGCTACAGAATCACAACTGAATCTTAAGACTTTAGATTATTGCTAGCACTTTTTATTATGAAAAGTAATCAGCGCTTTTGGGTGACTTCAAGTTAACCAAAATATTAGAGGGAATTTGTTTTTTTTTTAAATGTATGAAATGATAGATAGTCATAGATTTCATAACTAAAATGTAAAATTAATCTCAGAGTACAGTTACTATATAACGTTACACAATATATTTCAACAGAGAAGACAGTTTTGATGCCTCATTCATGTTTTATGGTACATTTAACAGAGGTACGTTTTTCTCTGAAGGCATTTAATTTACGTTTGGACAGTAACATCAAATGAACTAGGAAATTCGTTTCATTGTCTCTTTTACTTTTTATATTGTCGACTTCATCACGTTTTACTGTAAATTCTTATTAGCAGTAACTAAAGTTATGTTTCAGCGACTGTGTGTTTATTTGGAACAGTTAGTGTTATTTTATTATCTTGTCATCAAAGATTAATACACTTTGAATTAGTAATCAACCTGGGTATCCACTGTATTGTTTTTTATAAGTCAAATAAAGAAATTGGCAAATTTAAAAGTCGAATTTTTCTATTCTAATTTTATATTTGGCTTTCCTTTTCTACCAGACTTCACTGATCGTTGTCACAAGCGGTTTGGTGATTGTAGGCATTTGTTTTTGTCTAAAAAAATAGCTACTCCTGTACGTTTTCAACCGCTACTCCTACTAATTGTAGCGTAATTGATAAATGAACTATCAAATCAAAGAAGTAGTTCCGGATCAAACAAACATACTCTTCAGTTTTGAATATTAAGTATAATAAGTATAGATAAGTAACAAGTAATAAGTAACTGTGTTAGTATCACATAGTTTCTTGATTGCAGGGTAAGATGGATATTTGTGTCGTACGCTTGAAGTAAGCCGATAACAGTGTTAGGTCTCATATGACTGACTCTGTTGCAATTTATCTCAAACTATTCCGTTACAGATATGTACCTTCATTTACAGTGCAATAGCTTTAAGGAAAGTTATCGAAGCGTTTTGTACTGTATTCTAGCCTAATAATATATTAAAATAAAAAGGTAATGTAGAATTATCTACACTGCATTCTGAAAATTTAATATTGCGCCATAGTTTCACTTTACTCACTTGAGTAAAAACAGATTAAAAAAAATATCAAAATAACCAATAAGTACTCATGCATTTGAGACTTATTGTAATATCGAAGCATATATTACATGGGACTCATAACATAAATAGTGAAAAGTGGGTGTTACATTGTACAGTGGTATAATGTGCACCTCTGCCTACCTCTTCGGGGATAAAAAGGCGTGATGTTATGTTATGTTATGAAGCATATAACTGATGCCAAAGTAATTTTTAATTAAGACTTAATATTAATATCGAATGACTAATCGATAAGACTACTCGATTAAGATCTAAATTCTGGTGATACATAGTTGCAGGTTAAGGCAATATAAGGTGGTAGATACTCTCTAATAGTAACCGCATTACGTAGAACTCTGCCCTTGTCCACCTTTCCACTTCTATTAGAAATTCAGTACCACGTCAAACCACGTCACCGTGTTGAAGTACCAGCCAACTAATTAATATTCAATCAGTATTATTCACAAGGCTGTCTTCAAGTTCTGTCACAAGTGTCCAACTTTGGTCGAAGCCTGTCCGGAGCGCGACTTATCTCCAAATCTCCGGCTTTAACAGCAATTTCAAGAGGTTTTAAGAAATCTGTAGCACTTTGAAACCTTTACCTTCTATTCTTTTTAACACTAGTGGTCTTAAGTGGAGTTGTTAAAGGTAAGTCTGACTAGAATGTAATTTTTTTTTTAAACAAGATTCGTATAAAATTTTCTTTTCATTACCACATTTTTCTTTGCAAAGCCTCAGATATGCTAACAGATGGTACAGATGTTACGCATTATTGGAGTGATATCATGGAAACCGACGTGAATCAACACTTGCGTTGTGTTTCGTCGTGTGAGTACCCAACTTCCCCGATCTCTGAATCCCCAACAATCCTAAAATTCATACACTTGTAACGCCTCTTCCAGTTGATTACTTACCATCAGGTGATCCGTCTGCTCGCTATGTATACTGATAAAAATATAGGTAACAAAAACATTGACTACTTGACCAAGCATTTGCGTAGTAACCTTAGTTTTAACACATTATATCTACAATTCGAGAAATCTCTTCAAAATTATTACCAAGGTTTCACAGACCTTACAAAGATTTCAATGTAACGGAAACTACATAACAATTGACCTACATTATAACATTGAGCGAATTCCGATAAAATGGCGCAAACGAATGAGTTAATTTCATCCAAATAAATGGCAATATTGTTTCCAATTTGTGGACACGCATAGTTTAATTCTATTAATTAAACATGAAAGCAATCAATTTCCGTATTGTTAATCTATATATATAGATAAATTGTCAATTGTTTAGTTTTCAATCGCTTTTATTGCATTCAAAATAGTTATATTACACAAAATGAGAGTGAATAGTTCGGTCCAATTCCGACATATTCCGTGAGCACACCGCAGCTTTTAGACCGACAATAGTAATAAATTATTTGTCAAGACAAGAAATGGAAATCTGTTGAAAGAAAATTGTCGAAGTAACGACGAATAAATTCTGCTTTTCTTAGCAATTTCCTTGACATTAAAGTTTTATTTATATTCAGCTTTGTTTGCTAGAAATTCTTGAGATCTTTTTTTTTGTAATAGAAGCTACGTTTTTCTTTTTTGAAAATTCAAAGACGGAAATTTATTACGTGCTATTAAGTACATTCCTAGAAAAGTAAGTAAAGAAATTAAGAAAACTATTCAAACTTCAAAAACCAGTTTCTCACATAAAACGACAAGAAATCTATTTCAAAGTCAACTTGAAGCTGTCTAGAGGCAGTTGCTATTCGTAGATTCAGTATTGAATAATAAATAAATAGAGCGGCAGTTACGGAGCGCACGTGGGCGCACGCCTTGTATTGTCCACCCACGGCACACTGCACAGCTTGCACGACCATTTTTATATCATTTTGCGCCACTTCTGTCTTTATTGTCTCCATGTTTATCTAGGTTATGTGCTAGTATTGACTCGACCACTCCGATGTGCCCTGTTTTTCAAATGACCTTTTCTAACACAAACCCACACAATCCCTGTTTACCTAAGTTACCTACTCAGTATTCAAGATAGATTATTAATTCATCACGACCTGAATACATCGTTTAAATTATATTGAAAATTAATTTCATCTATAAATAAATGAATGGGAAATTTCCTTTGAGAATTTGCGCTCAGTTATGAAGCTCGCGTCTTGGGATTAGAATATACTTCATGTTTTATGTGTGCTAATTGTTATAGGAAATGGGGTATTGTAATCAGGTTAAGTATTAATTTACATAATTATGTGTGTTAAGATAATCTTAGATAGAACTTTATCTATGTATCAATCTACACATTATGTAAAACAAAGCCGTGCTCGTTACGCTACATGGTTTGAGATCGACTGGACAGATTTTCATAAACCTTGATTATATCTGGATTCTCTATCAGCATTAGGTACTGCTTAAACTGCAGTGGCTTATTTTTTCAATAGGGTTTTCATCTATTCTAAAACTATAGGAAATGTATCAAAGTAGCTGGTTTTAATATTGTATACAGGGTGTAAACGAAACGCTCCCGAAACACTGACAAAAAGAAATTGTTTTTACAATTTTAATAGTTTTTGTTTTCGTATTATTTATGCAACATCAGATTTGAGCAGTTGATTACAACTATTATTACATAAAAGAAACATTTAATTACCTACATCTATGAAAATACATTTTATTTTTAAGTATCACCTGTCGGCGTTTTTCGGGAGCGTTCCATTTACATAGTACATTCAAATTCAACATTTCTGTATAAGATGAAGTGGTTATTTTTATTATATGATTAATGCTTACCTTGACACGTGGTGTCTTTTGTGACGAACAGCAAGAACGCCGTGATCGTAACTAGTCTCCAACGTCGCCTCCCCATTGTTGTCATTAATTTTCACCGTGTCATTGATATCACACACACCACTAGAATGTCCACACTATAGTACATTGGAAGTCTGAGTTTTGGTGAAAGCCATCTTTGGCAGTCGAGAAATGAAGTCTTCGCTACGCCATGCCGGTAGCTCTGTCACATCTGTAACAAACAAAATTAAGTTTTAATTCTTGTTTCCATAAAGTTAATTTTTCACTGTCTTCGCTGTTGTAAATTTCCTATCAAGAAAAAATGTGTCAGTGATTTTATGGAAACCATGTTTATCTTTCTTGGCTATTATTATGACGCATCGTGATCAAGTAGGTTAACGGATTTATAAAAAATACGCATCTACTCCTACCGATTTTAAATTCAATATAACTACAACCTGATTTTAATGACCCATCCGTTTCTTTACTTCTGTTAATTCAATAAAACTTTCAACTTATAAAAACGAGAGGTGTTAATGTTAATCCATATTAATATCTACTTATTTCTCAAACTATTTCTGTAAGCTGTCAGTCCTACTTAGCTTAACACTCAATAAACTATGAAATTGAGTGGTGTACTATGTACTTATGTACAAAAAGCGAACTAGAGACGAGGTGTCAGGTAAGGTACAAACTTTACAGACAGACCCCGTCGAGCCCCATCGAACAGCGATACTGTTAAAGATTAGTACAACATTGTCCAACAGCCAGTACTGTCATGGTATTACAAACTTTATATGATTGCCTTCGAAACTTGAACGGGCCCGAACGTAACGTCACCATGACCACAAAGATGGCCGCCGATATCAGCTGTCATAGCACCGCCTTTGATGTTTTGATTTGACACTTCAGCGTGTTGATTCATTAGGCGCCCGGTTTTAAGGCCGTGTTTGCTTTGAAGCCCTTCTCTACTAAGTCTGCTTTCGAATGTTTGGATATGCCTCAGTTCGCATTAATTAATCAATAGGCTGCAGTGAAAATTACTGTTGAGTTATTGAAGAATTTGGAATAAATTAGTCATGGGTTCATTGATTAAGTAGGTTTACTATCTCCGGTCATTTATAATTCGTTGTTTGAACTGCTTTAGAGCAGTGTTACTGGTTGAATGTAAATGTAAAGGTGACAGCACGAATAAGGAGCGACAGGACGGAAAACATTCCTGCGAAGTACTCGCTTTAACGACCTGATACCAACATTAAGAACCGGAAAATATATATTTCCGTCTCTCAGGAGTTGCAAGGTGACATTGTAAATATTGCGTTAAATAAATTATATTTATCTACAAGCTGTACTCTGGCTGCCTCTTTCTTAAATTACACTCGAGAGGAATATATTCTCTTGTTATTTTTACAGCTTTTTTTCTGTCACAACACCATTTTATATGGAGGTAATATTTTGTACTATATTTCCATTAGGTGTGCATTCATAAATTAGATGCAAGAACAAAATAAAAATATTAAGTTTAGTTAGAAATGAATATAGTTAATATAACATCTGAGTAATGAATTCATAAAACATCTATATATCACAATTCACAATTCTTAATTTTCAGTTATTTTAAAATTGAAAACGCGAAATTGTGACATTGTAGATTTATAGTTAAGTATAATATCCGTATAATGAGACTAACAAATTGGCAATCACCGAACACTTGTCTGATATGTAATTATTGAGTGATTAGCGTCGCTTCTAGTTGTTAAACATCTAGGTTCGTATTATCGGAGGTAGTGAAACGTGTAGTGTAGTGAGTGACGTCACAGCGCGTCACGTAGACACACCGGCCGCGGCTCCGGGCGCGTCGTGAAAGCGGCGCGTTCCGGCTCGTCAAACAGTTTCTCGTGAACACATAGCCAGAGCCACGCCAATACACGGTGATGCGTTAATGTCTCTCTAATAATTCACGTAATCAAAAAATAACTCGACAAATAACAATAGAAAGTCGCCAGACTTCAACGGAATTCGAGAATTCGTGTCAAACTGTGTAATTAGAAAAGTTTGGTATTTTGATAAATATATGAATAAAGCTCACTGTTATTCTATATTATAATATTGGATTTTAATGAAATACCACCTGACAGCTATGAGATTGTTTGCTCCCGGGGAGTGGCTATATTAAACCTTTCTAAGATGAAAACTAATCTAAGAATTAAATGAGTGACTATTAAAAATGTTTAACTCTTTTGTTATATTAAAATCTTTGATCTCAAAGGGCTTTTTAGTCAAACATGATAAAGAAGCATCGATGATTAGCAATGGATTCGAAGAACAATAAAACTGACATTTACTTGTGCAGGACATATTCCTTACATTTTGACATGTAGCCATAGAACCATCAAGCAGATAATATATTAATTATCATCATAAATAGCCTTTGACAATCCTCTTTTAGACTATTAAGTAATGAAAGGTAAACCTACAGCTTCTGTATATAAAGTATTAAAGTAAATGTATACATTTAGTTTATATTCCTTTATGTTCCCTATAGGGAAACATCGATTTTGGACTTATACAGTCGCCAGTTACAGGTTAACCAACATTGTGTATAATACAGTGAGTAAGGACTTAACTCTATACCTTTTACTAAAAGGATTTAACATATTCTTCATGCTGCTATGCAAAGATATAATTTTCTTTATTATTATCATTTATCTCTAATTTAATATCATAAAACACGTGAATATACCTACTGAGAAAAGCTTTACTAGTGCTACTCAGTGAGCTGTCGCTCGCTGCTTATGAGGGAGAACCCCTCTGTGGTTCGAAACTAGTAGAGCTTTTCTCAGTATATTCACGTAAGTGACCCGCGATTTTAGGTAATTTCGTATGTCTCACGATAGTTATTATAAAAAAATAATTATCTCTAATTTCGTTCTGGATTATAATGAATTGTTAATGTTTACTAGCCGTTGCATATCACGTAGTGTGCAACTGTTTGTGGAAGCATGGTCGGCCATTTACTGTTTTATGTTGTTACTGTATTGTATTACGTTGTATTTCTGGTTTTGTAAGTTTTTTGTATCGTAAATAAATATGTTGCTTTTATTTAAATCTCAATTTTATAGATCAAAGATTGTAAAACAAAAGGACGAAAGCCAATTAAATAAATTAATAGAACTAACAAGTCGCAACTGTCGGAGTAAAGTTTAATTATTGTAAAGTATCGGTAAACTCAATGGATTTACAAGCTAGAGTTGTCTAACCTGACTTGAAAAGCCAAATCGGATACAATGAAGTTCTAATTGCGTTTTAGAAGACTCGTCATTCTCTATTCCAATACGGCGGACCCTCGGTTATAATGGAAAACTTAGAATTGGTTTTCAAATCGCACAATTTATTGTAGATACTATAGAATTCTGTCATGCTTTCTTTAATACGGTCCGCTGAATGTTTCAGTTGGTTATTGTCTTTATTCTTTTGTTTTATTGTTTTAATAACTATCGAAAAGGTCTGGGTATTGTTTTGTATCCAATGAGAAAATTTAATTATGAATCAACGATTTTTCAAAAGATTTGTTCGGTTTTGCCCTAAGATTACTTCATCAATAATCAATTGTAATTAATATCATATAATAAGGTTGGTATTTTAATAAACAAAACACCACTACCTACACCAAACAATCAAAGGTTCAAGTAAAGTGTGTAAGTAAAGACGATGGTTTTGCTTACACACTTAGCTAAGTACAGCGTAATGAAGTTGTATTACAATATCAACATTCATACAAATGTCTAGACGTATATTCCGAAATATTATGAGCGTCACATTTCTGTCATTACCATAGTTATGAATGTCGAACGAACGACATTCTGCCACAACCTCATTGCCAAATGCCAATTACAATCTATGTCAGGGTTAAATTAATAAAGTATTGCTTTTCTTTAAAGTATCTTAGTTATTTTTTTTTGTATCTATTCCTTTGATAAATTTATCATAATATGACGCCCTACTTTTTTATTGCGAGAAGGCTTTATTTATTGTTTTTTCTATGATTTCTCAGTAACACCACAAAGTTTCGAATTGTACATGGTATATGGTAATAGCTTCCCCTCTTCCGTAGGGAACAATATTTCATAGCTAGAGATAAGTGAGTATTACTTTATGTATTTATAAGTATTATTATATGCACTTCGCAGTGTCTACCTATACCTGTCATTGCGGGGATTCAAAGTATATTGTGAAGTTATTATCATGTTACGTCATATTACGTTTCTTAAGAAGAATTTTAACATATGTATGAAGTTTAATTGACATAGAAAATAAACCTTTGGCCTTATATAATATCATACAACCCCCTATTACAAGTTTTGACCATTTCCTTATATCAATCCCCTAGACAATTTATTCGTCGAACGAATTATAAACAAATGAATATCAAACTCGTATTTGTTTATTTAATATTCATGAGATTTGTTCTCTGTTTCATGAAATACGTATTTGTTTAATGCCCGATCTGTTATGGTAATGTGTTTTAAGAAAATGATAACTAAGGTCGTAGGCTGCGAAATTCAAGCGTTGTCCTCTATCCTACAAACCCACGATTTCCATTTTAATTGAGAAATTATTTGTATATTATTTATCTTATTTACATTTTATTGTTTGTATCTACAATTCTGAATGAAGCGGGAATTGGAATTTATGGTTAAATAATACGGAGCGTTGTTTTTTTCTAGGTCATTGGCGTAAGGTATCAGTAGATTTATGTTTTTCAAATAAAAAGTAACTTTATAACATTAGTAATTAGGTATATGTCAGATTGTGATGTAAAAAGCAATGGGATATGTCCCCACGCTGCGCTGTGATGATGCGTTCTAGTTCAGTACACAATGCTCTCATAAAGTAAAGGCTTTTATTAACTTAGTCCTTGCATTATGACCAAAAAATTACAATGTTTATGTACGAGTAGGCTGCGCGACAACGCCGCGACCGCGCACGCTATTCATGAGGAAGAACCTCTCTGTGGTTCGAAACTAGTAGAGCTTTTCTCAGTATCTTCACGTGAGTAACCCGCGATTTTTAATTATATTAAAATTA